ATATCTGCCACACTGTTAAAAATTGTGACTGCCTATTGGATGTGCATATGAGACAAGTAATAAATGCACCAATTTGCTGCTTAATTGGATCACTCTACACTTATCAAATGAACATATTTTCCTCCTTTCCTCCCATAGTCCAGGTGAGTTCATAGCTAACCTCGCCTGGACTGTAAACACCACCTCACTGGTCAAAAGGGCAAAGAAGCACTTGTACTTCCTGCAGAGGATGAGGAGAACCCACCTGCCCCCACCCATCCTTATCACCTTCTGCAGAAGCACCATAGAGAGCGTTCTGACCAGCTATCTCACTGTGTGTGCTGTGGAGGCTGCAGCTCCTCAGACTGGAAGAAGGTGAGAAGAGTAGTAAGAACAGCAGAAAAGATCATCGGGGCTCCTCTTCCCTTCATAAAAGACATTTCATCCCAGAACTGTGTGTCCCGAGCCCATATAATGATCAATGACCCCTCACACCCCCACCATGAACTGTTCTCCCTGCTGCCCTCTGGGAAGAGGCTTTGCAGCATCCAATGCAGGACCAGCAGGTTCTGTTACAGCATCCCCACTCTAAATCAAGTCACAAATCGAAACTCTGCATCACACTGATAACATCATACCTAACAGAAATCCACTCAAATGTTTTTTTACAGAATTTTTGCACCATATATATATATATATATATTTTTTTTTTTCTTTTTGCACTACTGTAAACTTCCACACTAAAGCCTTTTTGCACCATGTCTTTCCTACACTGTTTACATTTTGATCACTGCTGCTCTTTTAAATGGAAATTCATTTTCACTGCTAAGATGCTGCTCATTCATTGTCAGAAAGCTGCATAAATGAAATTTTATTTTTTGTACACTCTATGTATATAAAATGACAAAAACATTAGTCTAAGTGTAAGTCTTCAATTGGACCCTGAGCTCAAACCTGAAGTGTTCGATACAAACACCAAGTGGAAAGCAGGAGGTGTTATTTTACAGCAAAGTCCAGCACACATCGATGCGTCTGGTCATCATTCATATCTGTGCTATTTGAATGCCACACTAATAAGAAATCATGATCTCTTTATAGTTTATCCTATGCTTAAAATAAAACTCCATCAGACTATCCGTGTTTATCTTGTTGGTTTGTTCCTCTCTTCCTGTGTTACAGAAGGTGCACAGCAGGACGATTAACTTTTAGAATTTTGTGGCACCACATACTTATGCCGTGGCCACATTGCTATGTCACGTCACGAGAGAAAGTTTGCGCACAAGTAACTTTTTAGAGAGAACTGATTAGTATTTTGTAGGAACAAATTAATATTTTGTTTGCACAATTTAAAATTTTGTGTGCTCGTTGCATAAACTTTTTTCCATGACAAGTCCCAGGCAACGTACCAGTACTACTGAAATTATACAAAATAATGATCTTTTTCAAGATAATCTACTATATTGAGTTGTACTAGCATTGACTAGCCAGTCAAATACTACAACTTCACAGCAAGCTGATATATAATTCCATACTTGGTCAGAATACTCAAAGAGCATATTTGTAATTCTTTGGTTAAGCAGAATCAACTTTCAGAAACCCAGAATGCTGCTCCTATAGAACAAAGATGTCACTTTGCATTTTTATCCAGACCGGACAATATTACATTGACTGAAATTGCAAGAATTTTTTTCAGCAGAAATATGATTATAGAGCTATGAAATATGAAGTTCCTTGGGAAACCCTCATTAGACCTCTACAAACCTCATTTTAAGAGGCATTACTGAATTTTCTAATGATACTGCCACCTGTGACCACAACACAGAACTGCAGCCCTATTCTGCTAGTTCTCGAAGATCATGCTCATACCTGTAAGGTTTATCGTTTTTTTTTTTTTTTGTTTTTTTTCCCACTTTTTTCACCTTAGTTAGAGTTGCCATTGGTGTCTGATTTGGATGCAAGTCGCTTCTAAATATCCACAAAATCAAAAAATGAATTTGACACTTAAATCATTTGCTTTGGACCCTGTGACAAAGTGGTTCAGTTTGTGTTTACCACTTGTCCCTTATTCTTTCTTCTGATCTGTAATGCTTAAATTTAAACATTAGTTT